GATGTGCCATAACTTGTATGCCTATGAGATCTCGCTGTGTTTCGGTGCATGTGTAGGGCTTCAGAGAAACAGTTAACTAGGGAGAAGGCAGGCTTACCACACAACATGACTGCACCCTAAAGAAAGCAAATGTTTTTACACACTTGTTTAATATTCTTGCTCCACCCAGATAATCATGATAATGATGGATTTATTTTTTTAATTACACTGCAGCTCAAATATACGAGCCAAATTTATTGTTATGTTGCGTTATGCATAAGTAGTCAAAATAAGGTGGTATTTATACATTCTTATGTGGAGATCTCTACTCATAGTTACGTTTCACTTCATATATTTTTAGAATTCTTTTTGTATTTTATACACTGTATGTTCCTTCTCAGGTGGTTTTGTAGGTTTTTTTCCTACTTAAGGTCAACTCTTTCTTGATCCTCTTTGCATCTCTACTTTTGTCTTATCCCTCATTTCTCTGTTGCTCATACTATTTATTTTTTTCTGGTTTAGAAGTGTATTCTTTTTTCCCCTGTTCTTTTCAGTGTTGAGGAGCCTATATACTTCCCCATCACCTCACCAGCACTGTATATTTGTCTGTCTTTCCATCACGCTGCCTCACCTTTGTCTCAATTTCTTGGCATGGTGACATATATTAGGAGGTGATTACAGGTGCAAACACAGCACCACTACCAGTCATGATACCTTGGGGTTTTTTAGCGATTTTTAAAAATTATTATTTTTTTAAAGGAAGGTGTCCATATTCTCAAGTTTTCCTATACAGTGACTCTCTTCTTTCTTTGCACTCTGGAGGATAGCGATGGGAATGAGGAGCCTTGCTTTTCCCACCCCATTGACCTTCTGGAGGTGCAGAGCTCTGGTACAGAGCCCCTGCCCCTTGCCTACAAGCAGAAGCAGCACTGAAGTCTGGCAAGAAAGGGCAGGGAAGACTCAACTCTTTCCTGTCCTCATGTCTGTGATGTTGCAGGATTGAGAAAGTCAACCCTGCTCTGCTTGGACATCGGAGGGAGGACATGGACCATAATCTCACATTCAATATAGGCATGGCATGTTGGTTCCTTCTCAACTTTGGTTTGGGGGGGTATGCTTTATCAACAGGCAGAGGGAAGATTTTTGTGACTAGCAATGCCCCATGGGAACCAGAAAGGCAGGTGCATGCCTGAAAGCATGTAGTGTCATTTGTCATTCCCCCAAATGGTGGTATTTAAATGCTTGCTTGTGGATGACCTGCTTCTCACTGCTGCCTCCGTCTCTCCCATATTACCACTTTGCAGTTTTTGGGTGTGGTTTACTTTGAAGTTTGAGGCAAAAATGAAATGCTGAACAGTAATAACTCTACCCAATCAGTCTTCTGCGCTGTGCGTTTAATGTAAGTCCACATGGCATGTGGGAAACTGAAGTCGTGCTGGGCACATCGGAAATGCTCTGATGTTTCATCACGCACACCATCTGAGGAAAAAACAGTGTCCCCCCAGTCTCCTTCCAACCTCCCCACACCCTCCCACCAAAACACTTAGAAGTAGTAATAGCAAACCAGAAATGAATTGCACCTGAATTTTGTGGTTAAGACTTCAGGCTTTATTTTTGTTGTGATTTAAAACCTGTAATTCTATGATGGTAATTCCAACTTCAGATGCTCACAGAAATCGAGCTCTGTATTTAAATCATCCAGCTGATTTTTGTCCCCATTATCCCTGTTAGTTCAGGAGATTTCTCTTTTAATGGTCAGAAAACTTATGTTTTCTGCATAAATATATTTGATCTGCCTGACTATGGATCTTTTCTTTTGGACTGGGCAGCTCTTCCCTCCACTTCTGGTTTCGCTTCCCTTGTGCTTGTAGACGGCAGCAGTATTGCCTCTCATGTGCCATTTTATCGGTATAATGGAAGCAAGTTCTCCAGTTAGCATTATACAGGTTCCTTGTCTTCTCTCATCATCATACTCCTCTTTCTTTGCAACTCTGCTAACCTGAATCTTTCTTAAATTTAAACAGCCTGCCCTTGTTTACAGAGACTGGGAACACCTCAGTGGCAGAAGGGGGTTGTGGACACAGGCATGAACCCTTTTTTTCAAGCACGCCACTTTGGTGATGTGTGGTCACTAGGAGATAGGTCTGTATTGTAGTTCTCTTGTTTTGAATTCTGAATGCTTGAAAATAATAATTTTTGTGGAGTATGATGAGATTCAGATTGCAGTATACCCTTTGAAGCTGAAGTGGTAACGACCATCAGTCTTATTAAAGTACAGTTATATTGGTAAAAGGAATAGTGTGATGGCTTCTATATTTGAGCGCATTAATCACTGAACAATGTTCCTGTTCACATTTCTAATGATAAATCTAACTGCAAGGTTGATAGCTTGTCTTTTTTTTTTTTTTTTTTTTTTTTTTTCCCTGCTTATTTCTGTGGTGCTATTTTAAAATTCTTTTTCAGGTTCATTATTCTGGTAGAATTTAAAAGGGCTGCTAGCTATTTTAAGACCTGTAGCTTTGGTGATTTAATACAATGATTAGGGATGGTCAAGAATAACTTGGCAAGGACAGTATTTAGAAGTACTGATTTGTTAACATGATACCTTTTTGTGTCAATATCCAAACCTGAGAAATAGCCTTTTGAGTGTCATCTCCTGATACTCCGGGGGTCAGTTCCAGGCCCTGACTGGAGGAGAGCTGGCAGATTTTGAACCATGTTTTATCCTGTACACGAGTGCTGTGACTGGCTGTGTTCTGCCTACTGAGTTATCTCCCCCTGCCTCTGACCCATTTCTGAAGGTCTTGACTAATGTCAGTGATGATGTTCTCAGGGGCTTTAAGTGTTATTTCTGAGGAGTCTGATGTTTGATACATTTAATTGCCACTACACCTTCAAAATTAATTCTCCCGTGCACCAAGAATTTGGTGGTTGTGCAGCTGAGCAGCTACTGATGAGCACCTCCTCTGCTTTGTTTTCATTTTGCTTAGGGTGTAGGCAGCACCTATTTCTCTAAATCTCTGACTCTTCTTCCTTGTTTACCAGCACAATGTGCTCATTTTCTGCAGTTCAGTTGACATAACCCATTGGTTTGGGAGTTTACTCTGAGTTTTGGCGACTGGTTGGACCAATCAGGGCATGTTGCCTTGGTGTTGGTGTCAGTTCTGTTCATTACCTTACAACTACTCGTTTCTCCTGCTCTGTTGCTTTCTTCCTTTGTCTTACCTGCCTGTTTCTTGGACTTCCCAGACCCTTGAACGCTAACCTTGATAGCTGAATGTGTTTTGTTGTTTAACAAGTAGCTGTTCTTTTTCTTGCAATGGGACTTTAACCTGTGGCCTCTTGAAGAGGCCTCATGATTTCTTGAAGAAATGATGCCTCTTCAAGACCTTGGGGTTTTGGTGCTAATGTAACATTCAAATACTAACTGAATAAAACTGACACATCTAGACAGTTTTCCGTGTATTACATAGAAACGAAAAAGGGGCATTGCATGGAAACAAAGTGCCCTCCTGAGGTTGCATCCCCAGCATGAAGTGCACTTCTGGCCACTTGTGCAGGCAGCCCCTTGGGTATTGCAAGAGCTGGTGCAGAGGCAAGGTGGTCCTCCATCCCTCCAGTCATCTGCCACCACACTGTGTCCCCCATTATCGTTGTCATGTCGCGTCCCCCTGCAGCAGAACAGCCCCCACTGTGGCACAAGGCAGTCAGGCTTTGGGGTATAACATTCACAGTGTGAGACACTTGGCATCTTGCAGATGTGGTAACACGGAGCCCGCAGCCTGCATGGGGAATACCTTGTTCAAATATTTTCCTTGAATGAAGCCATGTTTACAGACTGATAAGAAATACTAGAATCCTAGGGACCTTCAAAACAGAAGGTGGTAGGGATTCTTGGGTTTGTTTTACTTGTTTTAAAGTATTTATTTTACTTTTTAAAGTCTGTATTAGAAGCAGCTGTTGTTTGTGGATTTTTTTATTTTAAACGCATTTTAAATGATGGAATATTTGTTATATCCAGTGATTATGTGTCAAAAAAAAAAAAAAGGAAAAAAGCTTAAAGTGTGTTAAATTGCTGAAGCAGAGCTTTTCCATACTGTGAAACTCTGATGCCAGTGCCTTGACTTACAAACCTTTCAAATGACAGGGCTGTGTGTAGCTTATGAATTAAGTAACTTTGTGTACCTTTTCCTGTGGCTTCCAACTGAAGGGAGCAAGTGCACAAGAGGGCACATTCTTTTGTTGTTGATAGCATTCTGCCTTAACGAGAAGGAATTTCTTGCCTATTGACTATTGTTTATGAAGTGGAAAGAGATCACAAGTTGTATAATCTCTATATCGTTGGATTTTTTTTTTTTTAACCTTGCTCTTGCTATTTGGTTGATCTGCAGCAGGTGCAGCAAGTGGGTGCTGTAATACACCGCACCTATATTTTGTTATTCATTGGTGTGAGTTGGGGGGGTGGGGAGGAAGGGGAGGAACACAAAGGAGAGAAAACCCCCCAAGTAAGGAAGCAGCAGAGCTGAATACGGTTTGGTTTCTGTCTCTCTGGAGCTTTGCTCAGCAACCAAACCCAGACTCCAGGTGCAGTATTCCCTCATCGGTCTGTGAGCATAGAAACAGCGCGTCCCTCCTCTTCTTCCTCCCCTGCCAAGAGTTTCTGGGTGGTGAATGTCAGTAGCTGGAGTTATTTTTAAAGGCAAGAGGTGAGGCTTGTCGTGCAAAGCTAGGAAGAGGGCGTTTGTTTGCTGAGCATTGCTGACATCAAAAGTGGAGACTGCTGCCTACTGGCTCACCACCGCCTTATGCCAGGTAATCTTTAACGTACCCCTCAGTCACCGAGACCGCAACCCAGCCTGCCTGCCTGCAGGAGAAACAACCTGTGTTTATGATCCAGAAGATCTCTTTTTCAATATTATTTCTGTGAGCCGGACTTTGACATTTAAAGGCTCACACTAATCATCTTGCAAAACCTGCTTAGTGCTTTTAACTAAGCAACTGCTTTCTACTTCTCTTCACAGGATAATATAAATGTTTTTCTGAAAGCGTGCGAAAATATTGGACTGAAAGAAGCTCAGCTTTTTCACCCAGGAGATCTTCAGGATTTGTCCAATCGAGTTACAGTCAAGTGAGTTCTGTGGTTTTGTTTTCTCCCTCCCCTTCTCCCTCTAAGCTGTTTCACAGTCTTTTTTTTTTTTTTTTTTTTAATGTTTGCCTATGGAAAATTCTTCTTTTAATCTGGTACAAGCAGTTCTGAATACTGTGGTGAGGGTTTAAGCTTTGTTAAGACTGGTAGATAAGATTTCACAAATTTAAAAAATGAAGTATTATTATGCCTTACAAGCAAACTAATTGTTAATGATTATTTACAGCATTTAATATATGAGACAGAAACTGTTCAGGTTATTTTGAACTTGGAGCAAAATTAACTGTTAAATGATATTGAAAGCATCACTTCCCTTTATGCCTTGAGATTACTGATGTAAAATCTGAAAGGGTGAGGTGGTACTTCTGATACTTATCTGAATGGCTCTGAGGCTTGGGTACGGTCTTCCTAAAGGACCACTGGTCTCACCACCACTGAGAATATTAAACAGGTGTTTGTCACCAAATGTCACTTCTGTCAAGGGTGCTGAGTGTGTGTGAGTGGAAACCAAGTACTGCATTGCACAAAGGGTAATTGTCATGTTTATAGAGAAAATAGTTTTCCTGTGAAATGGCAGCGGTTTGGTTTTGAAATATAATTAGTGGATTCTCAAATTTCAGGACTGCTGTGTCTTGTAATAGGAGTTTTATTAGTAGTTTCTGAGAGATTAAGGTGGAGCTTTACTATATAGACACTGAACAGGTGTTTTAAGGTAAATGTGTTGTGGAAAAATATCATCTAGGAGCATGTTGCTTTGTTACAGTATTAGCTATTTTAATAGTGTTCGTACAAAGGATGAATTTGCTAAGTCAAAAAAAAAAAAGCTTTAGTGAGTTTTGCTGGAAAACTGTCAGGTTAAACTTTAAGAATAGATTCTTGTCTTAAATTACTAGTTTTATCAAAGCGAAATAGACAGTAATCCTTCTCTAAATACGAGGAAAAAAAATATTATGAAATGATACATTACTGCTTTAATTAGAAAGAAATCTTCTGTAGGTGGATTGGGTGGTAGAGTGTTGACATACTCTCTGTCTGGTTTCAGAATGAAAGTTCGTACCGTTTTGAGGTCTGATACTTGAGATGGCAATGCGTTTTCCAATCTTTGACTCATACCCGAAACGTAATTTCTTGCTAATATGGTGTTTAGGGGCTTGGCGCCTTTCCAGGAGGCTGGTGTTCTCTCCGCTGGTTCCTAGGTCATGCCAAAAGCCAGAGGGTTGGTAACCTCTGCCATGCTTTAATTATCCACAAAACCTTTGCTAAATTTACTTTGGTGGAGGTTTGCTCCAAAGGTATGGCTGGGAAGGGTTGGAGGCGGTCAGGAGCTGGTCTTCAGCAGCGTCAATAAGCGACAAGCTGAAACCCTGGGGAGGTCGAGTTAGCAAACTGTTGTGCAAGGTATGTTGTCCAACTCGTCCTTACATTAACCACGGTGCCCAAGTGAGGTCAGCCATGAAATTCATCCAGTGGGTCTGTAACCCGTTTTGGTTTTTTTTTTTTTTTTGATTCTTTCAGCTCTGCCAGCTCCCTTCCCAGCTCTGGGAGCAGAGAGTAAGGCTGGAATTTGAAGTCGTCATAAGGCAATGGGGGTTTTACATCACACCTACTCAGCAACGGATTAATTAGTGTTTTTCAAAAAAGCAGATTTAATCATTGAACAATTCTCATGGACAGCTATACAAGGGGTTTGGGTTAGAGTCAAAAAATCTGCCAGCTGTATAGCCATGGTCTTTTAATTTGTTTCAATATAAGTTTGGTTTTCCAAACGTTATGTATCATATGACAATCCCACAGTGTGTGTAAAATACTTAGAGTAATTCAAAACTTCTGTATCTGAGCACACTGTAAAGTGGTAACCTAACTATACTAGCACATTTTGACGTGTTAAGGATTCGGGAGAGGGACAGGCAGGGGAGGTTTTATTCCAAGAAATTAAGGAAATAATTTATACTAAGATAATTCTCTTAATGGAAAAGTTAATTATGCATCACTTGATTACACAGAGGCCAGGCTAGTCTTTAGAGGGCTTCCAGAGAGAATCATATGTGTGTCAGGAGAGAAATGCTGTCTGATTGGGAGTTTTATCTGATTTAGGGTTTTTTGAGTTTTTAATAGGAATAAGTAATTTCATACATTCAAGCTGAATTACAAATGTCTTCAAAACTTGTAGGATGCCAGGCCTCACAAAAGGGATACTATTTCATGTCTTGTTTCGTGTTATCCTCTGTTAACCTTAGATTCACCATTAGAAGTAAATCATTTCTTGTCACAAAAAGGGAAAACTTTTTTTATATGCTGATTTTTATAAAGTATTGCATTTAATTTTTTGGCTTTCTAACATTCCTAAGCAAATTCATTTTGCTGCCATCACCTGAGGCTAATTGCCCACATCTTAAACCAGCTGTGATAGGCTTGTACAGGATAACATTAACGTGTGCCTGAAGCAGTGTGTATTTTGACACCTCAGCAAGTATTGCTGTGTTCTGCTGTTGCGCGAGCGTTAGTGCATGCTTTTTATCTACCCAAAATAGATTAAATAAACTGTTGCTGAAGCAGTCAGCTTTTCAGGCCGGGATGGCTGAAAACAGTGTGCTGGTAGGATACACGTATACTGACAGACATGAGAAGATGCCTGATTTGCCTTGTATATGGAAAATAGATAAGAGGAAGGTACTATAAAAAGGGTGGGTCTGCTCCTGTTGCTAAGGAGGACAGGAGAGTTGTCATCTTATGTCAGAGCAAAACCAGTCTCTGACAGTGGCAATCTCCTGGGTTGTATCTATGTCCCTGCTGCACTTGGCCTTCTGTAGACTTGTTTAATTGCTCCGATGCTTCTTGTGCTGGGAAGGTCCTGCAGGAGGAACATTTCCCCTCTGAGGACAATGTGCCCTGTGAAGAGGCGTTCCCTCTGTTCTTCCCTTCTCTGCTGCCTGCCCCTTGTGTGAGGTGCCTCCTCCTTCTTACCTTGTGGAAAATCATACACCCTCAGGCTGCTGGCATCTCAGACCGCAGTCCTGTCCCACCTGGGCAGGCTCTCTTCCCAGCAGGAAAAGCTATTTTCTCCTCATACCTTGTTTCTGAGTGTGCTTGCTGCCTTTCACTCTACCTTCGCTGATAGCACTCTGTCTGTCTCATCACCACCAACACCACCACTGAAAGATACCAACCTCTTTATTTGTGTGTGGTGTAATGTTCTTGTGTCACCTGAGTTAAGGTGAAGACTCTTTGTTCCTCATGGCTTGACAGCAGCTGTACTAAGAAAATAATCTTCCTATCTGGTAAGGAGGTTACAACTTTTGCTTGTATGTTGTTTTCCATTACAACTGACATGATGCACAGGCATAATATGAAACCCTCCTCTGTAATTACTACTAATATCTGGGACAGGAGAGGCAAGAATCCTCTTAAATATCTAGTCTCTCAGTTCCAAGTGATTATGTGATTATCCGTTTTGCAAAGAAAAAGCTCCTTAAAATTTTATTGTTTAGAAGTTTGTGTGAAGAGGGCTGGTTAAAATTACTGGTTGCTGTTCAAAGCCTTGCAAACTTTATGCTTTGCCAGATCAGCGATGAGATTAGTAGTCGGGTGATGTGGAAAAAAATATACTGGCATGGATGGTTTCTTTTCTGCCAATGAAAATGGGAGCGTGGATTAATGTCTGAGATTTATAGTTCAGTCTTTCTGAAAATCTGCAGAAGTTATTGCTGAATGGTATAGTACAGTAATGTGTCATGTGTTCCAATAAAAATTATCCAGATGGATTTATTCCTAACATACTGTGTCCGGCAGTCATGTGCATATCTTCTTGTTTCGTGGCTAGTTACTTGTGTAAATGTGTATATGTCCCTCATCAGTTCTTTCAGTATATTTGATTTATTTAAGCCTAGGATTTTATTACATTTAATCAGAGGAGATGTTATTTTAAAATTCAGCAGCTTGGGCTTTTTTTTTGTTTTTTTTTTTTTTTTTGTTTTTTTTTTGTTTTTTTTTGTTTTGTTTTGTTTTATTTTTTGTTGTTGTTTTGTTTTTTTTGTTGATGTTGGGTTTGTTGGGGTTTTTTGTTTTTTTTTTTTTTTTAATAGTAATTCAAGATTGTCTTAATACTTCAGTTGATTCTTTTTTTAGTTCTATCAAAGTAAGAATGTAATATGAGCTTAGTGACTCTCAGTTGTCAGCATGCTTACTATTTAAAAATGTTAAGCACTTCCTTACCCAGCTCTTCAGAGGTGACACACCCAGTTGTTCCCAGATGTGAAGGGGTTCTTAGTAAAACCATGCCATGGAGTCAAAAGTGAGAGTTTGCTTAGGCAGAAACCGAACTTCTATTCTGACGGGATGTGTTAGCCAGTTAGCAGTCTTAAAGGAAGCAGCCTGAACAAACAGATGGATGGCATAATTAAAATTTGTCTTATCTTTCAAAAAAATTATTTCTTCCATCTGAAAAAATTCCAATTCTTTAAAATGAGGTATCCTCTTAAAGCATCTTATTAAATACTACTAATAAAACCAATCAATGGTGGTTTAATAGATTAAAATATTAAACTAAGCAAAAAAATTATGAAACAATTCACTGCCTTAATCCTAAGTAGCAAACTTTTTTTAAAGCCACAAGTCCCTGAGTCCTGATGTTGAAGTTTTACTATATTAATTTCATTTTTCAATAAAATATCAAATCAAAATATTTGACTTCTATTAATATTACTACTACAGGGTTATATTTAGAGTAGGTCTTGAATGAAACTCAAAAATGTCTCCCAAGATAGCTGGAAGTACCTCAGCACCTTGCAGAACTTGGTATTTGGATAAAGCCTTCAACTTTTTGCTGCTCTATAGTACTTTATTTATTCATTATCAATGCTGTGTGCTACATGAAGCGTAAATCTTATGAAGAAAACAGAAAACCCTGTTGGAGAAATCTTGCTGAAGTGGGATTAAGTGCGTACATGAGATGAAGTAACAGAGCTCTGACTCTAGCCCTGGCA